TGGCATTTATTTGATTTTATCTGCTTCTCCTACCAGGATCACCAGCTCCAGGAAAACTGACTTATTGGTTTAATCATCCTCAGAATCTACCCAAGAGTCTGCCCCAGAGAAGGGCCTCAACACACACCGGGTGACTCACACACCAACCTGCCCTTCACCAACTGCATTGTTTCATTAAGTGAAGTACCTGTTGTTCTTACCATTTCAGTCTGGGATTATACACAAATCCTCATCCCTCAAAGCCAGGAAATACGTAGATAGGGCAGGGAGTTTCACAGGCAGGAGCCTGGAAATGCCCGCTGTCTTCCAACCACTGTGCTGCCCTCATCTAGTCTTGAGAGAAAGAGGGGGAAAGAGAGCCCAATCCTATCTCTAATCATAACTACTTCGGCCACTTTCTTTAAACCCTTGGCATTAGGAGCACACATGCCAACTGGAATCCATTATTGGGGTGAAAACTCAATGGTAGGAGACCAAACCAGGTACTTCTCAAGAAGTCTAGAAGTAGTGTTACTGAAACCTAGTTTTCTCTCATTTACTGGTTCCTGCTCCCAAATCCTGACATCTAGCAAAATGGGCACTGAAAATCCAAAGCTCACTCTAATGTCCAAACAACTACAGTAAAGAAAGGAGAGGACGTCTAACGTGTCCTTCCTCTCAAATCTTCCAGGCCAAAGGCCCGACCGTCCACGCTTCTCCGCCCAGCGGTCCCACAACAGCTTCTCATCAGGGTACTGGGACAGCAGAGCTTAACGGACCAGCTCTCTTTCCCAGCTGGTTTGTTTGACAGTTTGAGTGGAAAACTGATGATGCCTTTTGTCTTTAATCCCACCACGTTCCTTTAAATCTGTGTTTTGATTAAACCACTCCGCCCCTGCCCTGCAAATGCAGGAGGGCCTCAACTCGAGGAGCCGAGAGACGGGCACCCTGATGACCATGCCCAAGGCAGCCTCAGTCTCTGCGTGGGTGAGGTGAAAGAAGTCCTTTCTGGGGAGGGGGGTGGGTGATCCAATTAGGATATGCAAACCAAATAATGAGGTTGCATAAAAATATCAGCTGAATTTTCAGTTACTTTCCCTAGACGTCCTCTCAATCGGTACTCTGCACAAATCACAACTGCCAGGTGAGGTGTGATTCTGGAATGACTTAATTGAACTGGAGTCAAACAAACTCAGCAGCAGGGTGAAAATTCACCTTCTCCAAAAAAAACCTCGAAAGATACAGAAAGGTAATGTGGAGGCTACAAAGCCTTGTTCTTAAGCCTTGGCTCTAGAGATAAAAAATGAACGGAGAAAAATGTAGGTGTAGTCGTCAAATCCTGATCTTTGCCTCAAATACCGGATGTCACTATGGCTAACAGGGCCTGGCCCAATTCACCTACTTTGCAAACTCAAGCTCAGAGAGGAGAAGTACATTCTGGATACTCGGAAGGACTGAGAGGTGACAGGCTCTCCTGTGAAGAGCCGCAGCTCAGGATCCCTGCGGTGCTGGTGAGACTGCTGTCACCACGCACGGTGAGCGGACACACCATTTTGTTTTCTCCCCTCTGAAGACCTACTCCTCACTTTTCCCAGGGTTTAAAAATCATGTTAACAATAAGCAAATACAGCGTGGCCAGATGCCTTTCGTGGTTAGATGGTTCATTGTTTAAAAAGCTTCAGTTTAAAATCCAAAAGATTGTTAACAGATGCAGTTTCTGGCTGGAGACTGGGAAAAACCTCACTTAAACAAAAGAGTATGTTGTGATTGGAAGTAAAAAGGGAATTACCTTTAAAGATAAGAACCACAAACATTTCCTATTTGAAAATACCCCCCGCCCCCACCCTACCAACAGGACCTTTTGGGGACCTTTCATGAAAGTTAAAGAACTTGACAGTGGATTGCTGCGAATGACAAACCGTGGCTGACCAACCAGTCCAGTCACTTCCACAGATCTGTTTGGACTTTCAACAAGGCCACAACATCCATCTCTTGCTCTCCCCTGGATTACTCAATTAGGCAAAATTCCAATTAGTTTCTTTCCAATTCTTTTAGACCCAGAAATACTTTTGCTGCTTTCATTTTGGCTCTGGAAATAGGTTTCCAACTGGAGACTCAGATAGAGAAGTTTGAGAAATGAGCACAGAGCCTGATAAGCAGATAGCCACTGCTGGGACTCCAGTCACTATCGGATGGAAAAGAGCCACTTGGCTGAAAGACCTGGCCCCTTCTTCAGTTCCCAGTCCTGTGCACTTTTAAACAGAAAGCCTGCCTTTCACCAGCTCGTGTCTGTTTCTGTTGGCTTTCATGGGCCCTTCCGCTGTGTGTGAGAATGTCTGTGATGCCCATGTCTGAAAGATGGGAAATCTGAAGGAGCCACGGGTAGGTGGCTTTCCCTCAGCCTTTCGTTTGGCTTGCTAGTGACAAGCTTGATTTGAAAAGGCTACACAAGAGATGGTCCAAGGAAAATAATCTGTTCTCAGTATTAAGGATGGCCACCATGGCTCTGTTCTGAGATGGTCAACCTGTCCCTTAGAAGAGCACATTCTCAGGAGAGAGGTAAACATCATGTCCTTTCTGTGCTCAGGTGTTTGTGTTCTCTTATTCACTGTGTTATTTCCTGATTTATTAAGAGACCACAAAGGTCAGTTTCAGACCAAAGGCATGGTCTAGTTTTAGAGTCTGAGAAGCTCTAATTAAGAAAATCTCTAGTGAAGCACCGCTACCATCCATTTTAAAGTGAGGCGGATCTGGACGCCCATGGGACTCCCCAGAGGGTCAAAATGCCTTTCCCCCTCAGCTGTGCCATTGCTAAGTCATGTAAGAAATCCAAGCTGCTGGAATGAAGCTAGCAGGAGAATTCTACTCTCCGAGATCTGTGCAATCTGGCCAGGTACTTGCAGGAAGGGGCCATCCATCAAGAAAGAGGATTCTGAGCCAGTGGCCACATCCCTACCCATCCTCTTACAAAAACCCCACCATGCGCACAAGAGACAAGGTCTGCACAGGGATTTGATAGGCCTGGAAATTGAAAAATGAGCAGCAGCTGCGAGCCCGAGGTCATTACTATTCTCTAGGGTTTGCCTTTTCTAATCTAAGGGGCAGTAGTTTCCATGATTAACTTTCAATTGCTGTCAAGGGTGTAATAAAATCTGGGAAAGAAGAAAACTTTCCCCTCGGTAAGCTGCTCCCATTTTCCTGCCCTTTCCTTTCCTCCAGTGCATATTTCAACCCCTGCTTCATATTGCTTCCTTATTTTGAGGAAAAAATCTGTTCTCGGATGAGCCAGAATGGACAATGTCCTGTGTGTGCACAGGCAGTCGAGGACTTTGCGTTCTCAGCTCTAGGGCCCGGTCTTGAAGACGGCTGTGTGAAAAGTTCCCTTGTTTCCAAAGACCTGACAATACCATCACTTGCAGAACTGAGCACATTATATTTCACTTTAAAACTCTTTCCCAGTGTATTACATCTGCTTCCTGAGTCTCGACAATCAGTTCAACAAGAGAGAGGTTTTCTAGTTGGTAAGAGGTGTACAGGGGGAAAGAGGAGAGGACATGTTCATTCAGAAACACATCTTCCTGCTGTGACTGGATAGTTCGGGACCCTTAAGACTGTGGCTAGGTCTGCTCTGATAGCGGCTTGAAGATCATACTGAGAAGTTACAGCTGGACATGTCTCTCAGCAAGAGCCCCAGAACCAAACCCCATGCATAGTTTTATCCATGGTAACTGCTCAGGTGGAAAATTAAATGTGCTTAATAACTGGGACAGTTCAGTATACCAGCAATGATAACTTAGCGGTTCACTCATCAGACATTCATTTCCAAACATCCGAAGCTGGAGTTACAGAGATGAGTAAGACATGGTGCCCAACCACCAGGGGCACTCATTGTGCCTGGCGAGGGTGCAAGCAGGCTCGTGGCATGCCAATTACACACGGGAGCAGAGGCGACAGAGGTGCTGAGAGACAGCCACTGGGCAAATGAAGGCCCCACAATGTATACAAATCCCCTAAGAAAAGGCTTCCCTGACTGACAGCATGTCTTGAAAACACATTGGAATGCTGTGGTTCTGCTTTCCCTGGGACATCAGGGAAAAGTGAGTCATCAGAGTGTCTACTGCCTGTTGGAGAGAGGTGACATTTATCCTGGGTGCTGTCCCTGCCCTTCCCACCTACCTCCAGCTTGATTCAAGCCTCTACTGGACCAGAAGGGAAAGTGGCCAAAGACAGCCATGAGCACGACTGGTTCCAAACATCTACTCATTTGCCGCGGGTTTAAAAGGTGGCAGGCTGAGCTTGACTGCAGGGGACAGTCCGCAGGGTGAAGCCTAACAGCACAGATGCTAGAAAATAGGAGCTGTGGGGTTTTTGCTCATCCATTCTCCTCTTCTATGAAGGTAATAGAACTCCCGGCTTTTAAGTGAGGGGACCACCCAGAATCAAGACTGTGCTCCTTGCAGTGAGGTGCGGCCATCTGCAAACAGTGGGGTGTGAGAGGGATTCGGGTGTATGACTCCACGCACGTTCCTAAGAGTGGGGGGGGGACGTTTCGCCCCCCTCTCCCTTTCCCCATCCTTAGTGTGGAACATGAAATGGTTGGAGAGCCACCTGACGACAAGGCCTTAGAGACAGCAAAATGGGAAGTTGTGAGAAGGTGGTCACAGAGGACTGGGACCCCATAGTACTAGCCCTACTCCAACTATATACAAACTTTTACGTAAATATCAGGGGGAAAACTTTGATTGTTGCATAAATTGATGTTATTTTGGGTCAGTTGTACATGATTATGAATAACGATTACACGTACAAGGTGGGGTGGGGGGTATCCTGTGAAACGTTGGTAAAAACAACATCCAAGAAGTTGGCACTTTGCCGAAGGTGGCACCACAGCCACAGCAGAACATGTTCAACCTGGTTGTACATTACGAACAGCTGTCTGAATTCTGGTGGTGACATGGGAGAGCAAAGGGAATCAAAAATGATAATTTTCCAGTTAACCATATATACAAGGGACATCTTACCTTTTTCTTGCTACAGTATATTTGCCATTTTTTCTCAGCTGGAAGTGCAAACATGGCCTCCCTGTGTTTGTCTGTGAGATCAAGTTCATCCTGAGAAGAAAAATAATAATTAGTATTTCATAGATTATTTGTTATCCCTATAGAGGAAGTTATCAGCATCATTAGGGAGAAAAAACAACAACACGTATTTAAAATAAACTCAGAAAAGACCAAGAAGCTAAGTTAAGGTGTATGTTGCCACCTTTAAGAAAGCACATCCCTGGCACGGGGTTTGGCACCACGCACAACAGGGCGGACAGAGCCCTGCTCTTACTGAAGTGTGTGGGGAGTGGGCGGAGCACGGACAGGGTTAGCCTGAGGCTTGCCCGGTTGCAGAGGGTCCATCCATCAGTAAAGGCCATCACGCTCGAGTTTGGAAGGCTTATCATATCACAGATAAGGCTTTGCTAGGGCTAGCTCCACAAACACTCTCAGGCTGGGCCCTGAAGGGCTTGGGCGAGATGAGGAGGAGAGGAACAGAATCAAAGGCCAGGACAGGGTCACAGACTTGGTGTGTTTGGGGGACATGGACCAGCTTGGCTGAAGCCCTGGGGTTACACAAAGCATCATCACATAAAAGCTTTAAGGGTAACCAGTTTGTGGAGAGTCTTAAATGCAAGACTATGGAGTTAATTGTCTTGACCAAGGAGAGCTGATGAAGGTTCTGATCAAGGGAGTGACATCTCCATCGCCATAAACTCACTGATATTTATTCGTATCTTAGGAGCCAAGCACTGTACAGGCTATTCTCATTTCATTCTCACAACAACCCTAAGAGTTCCACTCATTATTACACCCTCATGGCAATGATAATCCATTGAATACAGCTGAGGGAAACTGAGTCAAAAGACTGCATAAGTAACCTGCTGAAGACCACACATCTGGTAAATGATGGGCTGGGTTTGCAACCCAGAGCTGTCTTGACTCCAGAGCCGACTCTTGGCCTCTCAGACCGGTGTCTGGAAACATTAATTTTACAGAGGTGTGCAGCTTAGATTGGACACTACAGGAAGGCGATTTACAAACATACATAACTAATGAACAACAACAATGGGATACAGAATATAAAGTGCTTAGAGGAAAGCTCTTGGCACTTGGTATCTCAGTCCACGGTCAGAATTCTTATTCCTATAGGGAAGCATGGCAGACTGGTGGATGTACACCAGTGGTTCTCAACCTTCCTAATGCCACAACCCTTCAATACAGTTCCTCATGTTGTGGTGACCCCCAACCATAAAATTATTTTTGTTGCTATTTCATAACTGTAATTTTGCTACTGTTATGAATAGCCATCGGAAATATGTTTTCCGATGGTCTTAGGTGATCCCTGTGAAAGGGTCATTCGACCCTCAAAGGGGTCACGACCCACAGGTTGAGAACCACTGGTTTGGACATATAAAAGGTGCTATAAATTAATGCACAATTAGGCTTAGATACCTGAGGAGTATAAACAAGCCCCCTCCATGAATGCCTTTGGTGTACATCTTCAATTCTGCCACTCATGGACACTGATTTCCTCTCACATTCCCACCTCTAGTTAGTCATCAAGTCCTGTTATTTCTTCCTTGAAAAGTCTCATCACTTTCCCTTTGTTTCATTTCCAGTGAAAGCACCCGGACCTATGCCCTAATAACCTCTCCCTGGGCTCCTGGCAATAGGCTCCTCCTTGCCCGTCCACTCTTCCTACAGCAAGGCCAGGATTCATTGAAGAATGAATTCTCAAACTTGAGCCAGCATCAGAATCAGCTAGAAGACTCCCTGCATCCCTGATCACCCAGGACTGAGCAGGTGGGAGGAAGTATAAGAATTTCTATTTCTTATAAGTTTCCCAGTGTTGCTGATGCTGCTGGTCCAGGGAACACACTTGAAAACCACTGCCTTAAAAATAGAGCACCTGTGCTGTTTTGAGGTCCCAGTTCAAAAAACTTCATTTGTTCCATATAACCTACCAAATGAATTATACATTCCTCAGCCTGCCCTGAAGGTCTTCTACGTATAATCCCAATTTACTTTGACAGGCTTGCTTCTGGTTATCACCTGATGCCCTGTCTTATTAACACCCGTACCACCAGGGTCTAGTCATTCGGGGACTGATACATGCTGGCTTCCCAGGGAAGTTCTGAATCTAATTAAACTTCTACTTCCTCATCTCCAGGATGGGCATATCATTTCTCTTTCAGGGCTGTCCTGAGGATTAGCCATCATGTAGCAATGTAGCAAGGCCTGATGGGGAGTAGGGGGTGGGCAACTATACTGTTGTTATTTCTCTCAACATTTAAACACAGATCTTTAAGAACAAGGTAAACAGCCCTGGCTGGTGTGGCTCAGTTCGTTGGAGCATTGTCCTGTACACCAAAAGGTGGAAGGTTCAATTCTTAGTCAGGGCACATACCCAGGTTGCAGGTTCAATCCTGGCGGGGTCATGTGCAGGAGGCAACTGATTGATGTTTCTCTCTCATATCGATGTTTCTCTCCTCTCTCCCTCTCTCTTCCTCTCTCTGGAATCAATTAAAAAAAGGTAAACAGTTAAGTCACTAAAACACACCCACATACTATTATATCTTAACCACAAAAAAGCTAGTTAAGAATTTCAACAATGAACAACCAGGGAAAGAATGAAAGATATTTACAGAAAGTTCCATTACAAGGGAACATGCTAAAAATGTTAAAATTTTGGCATGCAACTATTATATATGTGAAGTAATTATTTTTCTTCCTTTCTTTCTTTTTCAATTTCCTGTAAGTCACACACCTACTTTCATCTATTGATGAATGGGGAAAATAATGGTGACATAAATCATTTCTTAACAATCAGGATTACTTTGGGGGTGGGGGGGTCAGGTCAGTTATTGAAACAGCTTGATAATATGGTGCTTAGTTTGGGGGAAAGTCTGTGATTTATAAGAGAGTGAACAGTGTTATTAATGTCGCATCCCTACTACACTACGGTACTGTGTTTTTGCTGAGCAGAGGTGGGAAGAAAAACCTAAATATTCACAGCAAAGGGTATTACTGAATATTACCTCATGTTGCTGTTACAGATAGAAAACTTCTGCTTCTGTTGTACACAGAAATGACCAATTTTGAATGGACAGAACACAGTTGAACAAGGACTTAGGTAGGAGCAGATGGCTTCATGCAAGAAGTGAACTTCCATAAACAAATTAAAAATTGCTCTAGGGTCTCTGGATATAATTTTAGATTACAGTAAAAAACTGGGAAGGAATCAATGGATACTGGCAATAGTAATAGCTAGCAATTAGTGAGCACATTCTGTGTGCTTAGTATTAGTGTTTTATATGAATTCATTTAGTTTATCCTCACAACAATCCTATTAAATGGGTAATATTACCTCATTTTCCAGGAAGCTAAATTCAGAGAGATTACAGAGCTTGCTCAAGGTAACAAAGGTGGAGGAGGAACCTGAGTCTAGACTGTCTGGTTACAGAGCCCACATTCTTAACCAGTAGGGCCTGTTCACTGTATCGATCATTCAGCAGGTAGGTAGAATCAGGACACTGATGCAATATGAAACGCATGCTGTCTGTTAGCAGGGGAGGAGGGTTTTGTTGTCAGACATCCTGAGTTCCAGGTCTGGCTCTGTGGGTCATGCAACCTTGAACAAGTGACTTAACTTCCAAACTTCAATTTCTTCACCTGAAAAATTAGAGTGGTAATATATGTCTGACAGTTATCTCAAGGATTCATTCATGCAAACAAATGTCAGCCATTTGTGCTAGGTGTAGAGGACAAAAGGGTACCACAGAGATCATATTCTTGAGCAGGCTGAATGGAAATAATCACATATGACCACACAGGAAGTTGAGCTTGGAGAGCCCACTTGCTGTGGAGAAAAGCGGGGCAGTGAAGGCTGTCCCAGGGAAGGGAACTGAGATCTGAGAGATGGCTAGGAATAGGTTAAAAAAAACAAAATGAAAAGAAAGCACTGCAGACAGTGAACAACAGCCTTAAAGGCCACTATCACCTTTGGTCTTTATCCTAAGAGTAATCAGAGGTCATTGGCAGATTCTGAGCAAAGAGAGTGACATAGATTAAACTGGATAATAACTGGGAGTGCCTAGGCACAATGCCCAGGATGTAATAAGACCCCCACCCCTCCATTCCAAAACTATCTGTGCTCTGACTCATTCCATTTTAATAATATGGCTGAATCAAACATGCAAGACTCGAAGAGATTATCACAGCCTTAGAGATCAATCAACACTTACTCGCTCTCTACCCATTCCAGGACCATGGCCAGACATTATAAAGAATACAAAGATGAATAACAGGCCCTGATTTTACGGAATTTAGAATCTATTTAGGAAGACAAGCTGATAGAAGGCTTCAACAGTTCCCTTTCGTTTCAGGATAAAGTCCCAAATTCCTTAGCTGGTAGTTCGAGACCCTTTAGGATAATGGCCTTTGTCAACCTGTCCCACTTCACCCCCCTCCCCTTCCAACAGCACACGCCCAGTTGTTTTGGGGGCTGGTAATGAATGCAAAAATAAACAGAACAAATTTAATTTCTGTCAATACACCTTAGACTTGGATGGCTTAGCTCTTTTCACTGGCAATAGAGTTTTTTTTTGTATTATTAGATATTTTTTAAAGTTGACTAAATGAAAACGACTTAGCGAGTAATGAAAGGAGAAACATTTTTTTTTTTTTTTTTATCCTCACCCGAGGACATTTTTCCATTTTTTGTACAGATAGAGTGGGAGGGAGAGAGAGGAAGGGAGAGAGAGAGAGAAACATCAACGTGAAGGGACACATCGAGTGGCTGCCACCCGCATGACCAACCAGGGCCGGGGACAAACTGCAACCGAGGTACGTGCCCTTAGCGGGAACCGAACCCGGGTCTCTCTGTACCGCAGGCCGACGCTCTAACCGCTGAGCCAAACCAGCCAGGGCGAAAGGAGAAACATTTTTACTGAGCATCATTATTCTCCACAGACAGTTCAAGTTTCTGAAAAAACCAATAAACAAAATCCTTCTTCTTCGAGAAGATGTTAATTATATATTTTACATTTTTATAAAATTATTTACAA